TGATTTTTTTTTCCCAAGTCTACACAAATTAGTATCAACATTGAAATTCCTAGTAGAAAATACCTAATTCATTGATTCATCAAACAAATGCTTGAATGTTTATCATGTAGCGAGGGGGCCTTAACAGGTGGCACAGTGGTAAAGAATCCACCTGCCAATGCAAGAGACTCAAGAGACGCAGGATGGGGAAGACCCCCCCGGAGTAGGAAATGGCAACCCGCTTCAGTATTCTTGCCTGGAAAATCCCACGGGCGGAGGAGCCTGATGGGCTAGAGTCCATAGGATCGCAAAGAGTCAGACACGATTGAGAGACTAGGTATACCCTCACACACAGTGTAGCAAGGTGGTAAGTGTGTGGTGGTAAACAACATAGGCATAAATCCTTGCTTTCAAGTGCCTTTTCTAGGCCAGTTGTGCGTGGTGCCCTGTATGCTACTTATAGACGATCTAAGATCTATTATTTCAGCGAGAATAAGAACTGTGATAGAAGCAGATCCAATCAAGTCAGCATGGCTCTAAACCCTATGCTTTTTCCTCAAATTACCATAATTGTTGAGCTTAGCGGAGTGTTCACTCCCAATCTTGCTGAGAGAGCTATCATTCCTTATGTAATTCATTTTTCTCTCCTGCCTCAGCACTGGGTTTAGGACCCTGTCAAGGAACAGTTGGTGGAAATAGCATTACTGTGGATGCCCAGCCAGACTGATGCCTTTTTAGCAAAAAATAAAGTTTTGCCAGCAAGACACCTAAAAAGACTAATCCTACATTATTTTAAAACTTGTGCTAATATGTAATATATCATTATATATTAATGATATTATGTTACTATCATTAATTATATATGTAAATGCATGCTAAGTCATTTTAGTTGTGTCAGATTCTTTGTGACCCCATGGACTGTAACCTGCCAGGCTCCTCTGTCCATGGGATTCTCCAGGCAAGAATTCTGGAGTGGGTTGCTTTTTCCTACTCCAAGGGATCTTCCCAACCCAGGGGTCAAACCCACATCTCTTAAATCTCCTGCATTGGCAGATAGGTTCCTTACCACTAGTGCCACCTGGGAAGCCCTTGATTATATATACTATATATTTAAATTTGAACACAGTTTTAGAAATGAAAAGCAAGCAGTTTACAGTCATAGGGTGGGGAAGGATGAGAAGGAAAAAGAATAAACCATACACTGTTCTCTATGACTGAGAGAAACGTAATTAGAAGCTGTGTTGAGCAGGGGTCCCTGGAAACAGAACCTGCCTTGGGAAAGTTTCATGTGACTGATTTATTGAGTGTGCGCTCTCAGGAGAAGGGGAGCGGGAAGCCCTGGGTGGTGGGGAAAATTAAAAAAGGACGTGGTCTCCACTGGAGACTGCCTCCCACCTGACCCCACAGGGGGCTCTGGAGCATGAACTGTACCAGCGTTGACCCCACAGGGAGGCAGGGGAGGTGGTCTTGTATATCCCTGGGTCAACCCCTCGTCTGGGAGCTGCCTGGGGGGTCAGAAGTGGCCTAACCAACCCAAAGTGGTTGGGAGCAGTGTTTCCTGAGAAGGAGGCCACTGTGAGCCTTGAGTGGCCAAGTCCCAGGACCTGGGGATGGATGTGCTGACCAGTAAGGGGCGTCTGGCACATCTACTGTAGAGGTCCAAAAGGAAATTAATCTGGGAAGATTATCGAGTGATAGATCTTGACACATAGCAGGAGTCCTCTGACACCATACACCTTTTGAACACAGGATTTATTGTCAAAGAACTTGTTGGTTTTTAGTTTGCTTCAAGCTGATAAGATATTAGATCAGCTTTGGTAGAAGGAAATTTGTTCCTAAGGAGGGCATCATGTCAGGTATGAAGGTTCTGATGGAAAATTTTTAAGTTATTACTGGAAAAAAAGGAAAAGAGAATGAGAGATATAATTGGAAGCAGTTATCAAAAACTACCTTATATAATCACACAAATGTTATTGGCTCAGCTGGTAAGGAATCTGTCTGCAATGCAGGAGACACAGGAGATGCGGGTTTGATCCCTAGGTTGGGAAGATCCTCTGGAGGCGGAATGTCAACCCACTCCAGTATTCTTGCCTGGGAAATCCATAGCCTGGTGGGCTATGGTCCGTGGGGTCACAAAGAGTCAGACATGACTGAGTACATAGCATGTGGCACCTTATATAACACCACCCGTCAGAAGAATGACACTGAATTTCTACAAGTATCATATACTTTTATTATAGATTTTTCTAAAATAACCTTACACATTGGTATTTTCTACAATAAATCCATTGTTTGCTAATAGTGCTTTGCATAGATTGTTCAGCTATGTAATGGTAGGTAAACATCAGGGACACTTGTCAGAATCCCTGGAATGTACAACACCAAGAGTGAACCCCAGTTTCAGCAGTGGACTCTGAGGGATAATGACGTGTCAGTGTAGGTTCATGGACTGCAGTCAGTGTAGCTCTCTATGGGGACGCTGTGTGCTTGGGGAAGGGGGAATGTGGCGGCTCTCTGTACTTTCCGCTCCACTTTACTGTGAGCCTAAAACTAATCCCAGAAATTAAGTCTATTTTAAAAGTGTGTATACAATGGAATATTGGTCATAAAGAAGAATGAAATAATGCCCTTTGCAGCCCGTATGGATATATCTAGAGATTATCAGAGTAAATAAAGTCAGAGAGAAAAAAACAAAAACATATGATATCACTTCTAAGTGGAATCTAAAACAATGATACAAGTGAGCTTATTTATGAAACAGAAACAAACTCACAGACAGAAAACAAACATGGTTCCCAAAAAGGAAAGGGGGTGGGAGAGGGATAAATTAGGAGTTCGGGATTAACAGATACACACTACTATATATAAAATAGATAACCAACAGGATTAACTGTACAGCACAGGAAACTATATTGAGTATCTTGTAATAAACAATAATTAAAGAATCTGGAAAATAATATGTTTAACTGAATCACTTAATTACACACCAGAATCTAACACAGCGTTATGAATTACCTATACTTCAATAAAAACTAAATTAAAAGAATGAAAAGTGTATACAGAAAGTTGATCTCCTGCCCAGGCAGTTGCCTGTTCCGAAAGACAGAGGTGATATTCTGATGACATTTTAATTTATTTATTTATTTATTGTAGTCAGAAAGTTTTATTTTTTTTTATTTATTTACTTTCTTTCTTTTAATTGGAAGCTAATTGCTTTACAATATTGTAGTGGGTTTTGCCATACTTTGGCATGAATCAGCCATGGGTGTACATGTGTCCCCCATCCTGAACCCCCCTCCCACCTCCCTCCCCACCCCATCCCTCAAGGTCATCCCAGTGCACCAGCCCTGAGCACCCTGTCTCATGCATCGAATCTGGACTGGCGATCTGTTTCACATATGATAATATACATATTTCAATCCTATTCTCTCAAATCATCCCACCCTCACCTTCTCCCACAGAGTCCGAAAGACTGTTCTTTGCATCTGTGTCTCTTTTGCTGTCTCGCATATAGGGTCATCATTACCATCTTTCTAAATTCCATATATATGCATTAGTATACTGTGTGGGTGTTTTTCTTTCTGACTTACTTCACTGTGTATAACAGGCTTCAGTTTCATCCACCTCATAAGAACTGATTCAAATGAATTCTTTTTAATGGCTGAGTAATATTCCATGGTGTATATGTACCACAGCTTCCTTATCCATTCGTCTGCTGATGGGCATCTAGGTTGCTTCTATGTCCTGGCTATTATAAACAGTGCTGCGATGAACATTGGGGTGCACGTGTCTCTTTCAGATCTGGTTTCCTCGGTGTGTCTGCCCAGGAGTGGGATTGCTGGGTCATATGGCAGTTCTATTTCCAGCTTTTTAAGGAATCTCCACACTGTTCTCCATAGCGGCTGTACTAGTTTGCATTCCCACCAACAGTGTAAGAGGGTTCCCTTTTCTCTGCACCCTCTCCAGCATTTATTGTTTGTAGACTTTTTGCTAGCAGCCATCTGGTGACATTTTTAAAATAAAGTTCTTCTACTTAGACATCCATTCCCACAAGCTCCGATCTAGTTTATTCATCTGTGTGCTCCATCTTGCAGTCGTATCCCACTCTTTGCCACCCTGTGGACTGTAGCCCATCTAGCTCCTCTGTCCATGGAATTCTCCAGGCAAGAACACTGAAGTGGGTAGCCATTCTTTCCCTCCGAGGATCTTCCAGGCTCAGGGATCGAACCCGAGGCTCTGTGTCTCCTACATTGGCAAGTGGATTCTTTACCACTGGGGCACCCTGGTGGCCCCAATTTATTCATATAGTAGGTGGAAAAGTTAGAACCTCAGAGGGGTGATCCCTCATAAGGGATGGTTAAAACAGAATATTCTATGGCCACATCTCCAGCAAGAATTATTCAAAAACAATGTATTTAAAGATTTTCTTTTCCTATTTGTCTGCACAAAGATCAGAAATGTATTTCAAATTAAAGTACAGTAAGAATCAGGTGAATAGCATCCACAGGTGGTGTAAAAATTCCATCAATACTCATTTTCATGACATAGAACTTACATTTTGATTTGAAGCATACATACATAAGTACAGTATTTCACACATACACACACACACAGGGAAAAAAGGACCCATCACCCACTCCATATAAATTGGTTGACCCATTTCCAAAATGCCTGTTGCTATTGTGTAGATTCAGCCTGCAAATAAAATTTAACACATTAACTTTTTAACCAGAACATCTTAGAATTATTTTCTGATATTAACATAGAACACATGTTGGGTTTTTTCTATTCCTTTCATAGGAATTTCATAGGAGATAGCGGACAGCTATCTCCCCCGCAAGAAGATATTTCTAACTGAAGCTAATATGGATGAAAATGAAAATAAATAACCTTTATCAAATTACAGTGAGATTTACCCTATAAGCTGCTTAGCGTTCCTATGGAAACACAGCCTGCTGCATTTTATTGTGGGAGAGGAGACGACGTTTCTAACGCTGTCTATGGGTCTCTTCCCTCCACAGGCCTTGAACCGGGGGATCGCTGCTGTCAAGGAAGATGCAGTGGAGATGCTGGCCAGCTACGGGCTGGCGTACTCCTTGATGAAGTTCTTCACGGGGCCCATGAGTGACTTCAAGAACGTGGGCCTGGTGTTCGTGAACAGCAAGCGGGACAGGACCAAAGCTGTTCTGTGCATGGTGGTGGCCGGGGCCATCGCCGCCGCCTTCCACACCCTCATAGGTAAGGCTGTCGGCCGTCCCTTAAGAAGCCAGCTTTGCCCACTCCTTGCTCCTCTTAGTCTGTTTACATGCATTCATTGTAGTAAGTGATTTCTTCCGTAATTACCATCATGAGAATTTTACGGGCTGGGAGGAATGGAGCTGTCGGTGCTTCTAGGACCAAAACAAAAAAGAGAGATGTCCTTTCTCTGGGAAGCTGTATGCCTCTGGTTCCCAAACCCTGTGTCAGAGAGAGAGGAGTTTCATTAACATGTGATCCGATTTAGGACTTCCCTGGTAGCTCAGATGGTAAAGCGTCTGCCTACAATGCAGGAGACCCAGGTTCAATCTCTGGGTCGGGAAAATCTCCTGGAGAAGGAAATGGCAACCCACTCCAGTACTCTTGCCTGGAAAATACCGTGGATTAGAGCCTGGTAGGCTGCCGTCCAAGGGGTCACAAAGAGTCGGACACGACTGAGCGACCTCACTCACTTTCGGTAAGGCTTCCCTGTTAGCTCAGACTAGAAAGAATCCGCCTGCAATGCAGAAGACCAGGGTTTAATCCCTGGGTCAGGAAGATCCCCTGGAGAAGGGAATGGCTACCCACTGCAGTGTTCTTGCCTGGAGAATCCCATGGACAGAGGAGCCTGGCGGGCCACAGTCCTTGAGGTCAAAAAGAGTCAGACATGGCTGAGCGACTAAGCACAATGCAGACTCACACACAGGATAAAAAAAAAATGTCAGGAGCTTTTGTTAGAGACAGACGTTACTTAACCTCTTTTTTCAAATTAAAGTGTAGTCACTGATTTTACAGTATTGTGTTAATTTCAGGTGCTACAGCACACTGATTCAGCTATATATATAACTTTTTCAGATTCTGTTCCTTTATAGTTTATTGCAAGATACAGTAGGACCATGGTGCTTATCTACTTTATCAGACTCACTTACTCTTAAGAATAAAAACAGAATGAGCATTATTTAAGATTAATGCTTACCAGCATTGAAAACAAATGAAATTGTCTTCTGTATTAAAATTATCTCATTTTAGGACCTCATGCTTCTATTTTAGACAAGACTCAACACTCTGGGCATAACATTCTTTGCATCAAACAAGAAAATTAGGTCACACAGAGTGACTGACCCGTGGTTGGAAAGCCCCTTCCTTTAGAGTCGGAGCTCTATTTCTGCTGCCTTCATGGTGGTGTTAAAAACCCTTAAGGGCACGATTTCAGAACCTATAGACTTCAAAACCGCTCAGCTTACCTGGCCTAAAAGTTGAATGACACACCTACTGAACCAAGTTACATGAAGCCCGTGACCAACACTTTACAAACCCGTTGTGTGTCTTCATCTTGGCACTGGTTGCCTGAGAACCATGAATGTCCGTGGTGAATGAAGAGCCAGGAGATTAACCCACACTGTTCCCCATGTACTCAGGTGTCAACTCTAGTTTACTCATGCAGTTGTGAATCTGGAAGTAAATAGAGCCAGCTCTTTGTGGGTTTCATTTTGAATAGAGCATAGGATTTTGTGCTAAGAACAATGAAGACAAGAAGATGCTTCCCTTGGGCCAAATATCCAGACCAAGTATTGCTGTTGATCGTTTTCATTTGGACTGAGAGCTTCAGGGCATGGGGTGGAGAGGAGATGCCTTTCTTTCTCTCAACTTACACCCTGAATACTGAACTCTGTACTGAGTTTTAAAGGAAACTCCGGCAACAAGAATTCACCTGGGCCGTGTTCATAGACGGTACCATGGCTCAGTCAGTAAAGAGTCTGCCTGCAATGCAGGAGACCCAGGTTCAATCCCTTGGTCAGGAGGATCCCGTGGAGAAGGAAATGGCCACCTACCGCAGCATTCTTGCCTGGGGAATCTCATGTGCAGAGGAGCCTGGTGAGCTGCAGTCCACCGGTTGCAAGAGTCGGATACAGTTTAACGACTAAGCTACCACCACCGCCACCGTGTGTATCTGAGAAAATGACATGCATGAAATGAGAGGGTCTAAATAAGTTTTTGCCTAAAAAGGGAAGACAAATTAGTTCCTTTTTATAAAATTCCTTCCAAATAAACCCAACATTTCCTGTTTTATGAGGGAATGAGACTTTGGGACTCACAGCTAATTACTAGCTGTCTGTAATTAAGGAAAACTTGAGTTTTCTGTGTTATTGACACTGTTGGGAGGAACAATTTGGTCACTGAAATAAAAATTGAAGTCATTTTCTAATTTAAATCCCAGTTTTTCAACTTGAAAATGGAATCCTAAAATCTTAAATTTGAACCAAAATGGTTCTACCTCCAGATATTTAACAATTGTTTTTATCACTGTCGATATTTTTAGTTACTATATAGCATTCCCCCCGCCAAACAAATGCTTTCCACAGTCACTACAGAAGCACGTATCAATTTCTTTCAAACATTTACAACTCAAAATTTAATAATTTTTCCACCTGTAGTATATTGGTCTCATTTCAATTTTCTGTCTAAGGATTTAATTCTCCTCTTGCCTTGTCTGCCGCATCAGACCTATTTGCTTATCTTCTTGTCTCCTGTGGTTTTTTTTGTTTGTTTTTTTTTAATAATCCTGTAAGCGTTTCTGGGGCTTCCCCGGTGGCTTAGGAGTAAAAAATCGCCTGCGGTGCAGGAGACACAGGAGATGAGGGTTTAATCCCTGGATGGGAAAGATCCCCTGGAGGAGGACATGGCAGCCCACTCCAGTATTCTTGGCAGGTCGATCCTGTGGACAGAGGAGCCTGGCAGGGTACAGTCCATGGGGTTGCCAAGAGTCGGACACAACTGAAGTGACTGAGTACACAAGCTTTTCTGTCCTCAGATATTGCCAATTGTTTCCCAGAACCTTGACCACAAGCTCCAGATAGGATGTTGATCTCTTTGCCACATTTTCCAACATAATTTTCCCATCATCAATAAACATCCACCCATTTAGTTTCTACATTTCAATGTGTCACCTACACTAGACACTAAAACCCATTTCTCATGTCTTAGTTGTGCTAAAAACAGCTACTGACATCTCTACTTGAACAGTCAACTTTCGGATGTCTGTGCCTGGGACAAGGAAACAGATATAGATAAAACAGAAAAGCAAATATTCCAGGTATATTTGACTTGAGAAGCCATTATCTGCTCTCAGGCAGTCGTCTGATTGTATTTGCTTGGCCTGAGAGTGAAATGAGTATGTATTCCTCACAGGAGCAGCTCTCAGTAAGGCTTAGAGTCAGTACAAGAAGCAAGGTGTTACCAGTTCACCAGCTTAACTCACAGAGAGAAACCAGAGTGATCTAGGCTAGAAACCTAGTTTCTTTATATTCCTTTGTTCAGGCGAAACCAGTCTTATTGACTTAATTGTTCCTTTTTAGGTGCTATTTCCCTATCTCCTTAATGGATTTATTTCTTTTATCAAGACCTTCTGACTTTTCCATCGCATTTATGTAAGGACATTTGAGAGCAGAGGGGAGGAAGAGATTCTTTCTCTTAGGGGTGGGTTCTGAAAAGCTCATGAGGTGAGTCAACTTCTCTTGTTATTCAGTCACACATTCATGTCCCACTCCGTGCGACCTCATGGACTGCAGCACGCCAGGCTTTCCTGTCCTTCACTATTCCCCCGGAGTTTGCTCAAACTCATTTCTATTGAATTGGTGATGCCATCCAACCATCTCATCCTCTGTCGCCCCCTTCTCCTCCTGCCTTCAATCTTTCCCAGCATCAAGATCTTTCCCATTGAGTCAGCTCTTCACATCAGGTGGCCAAAGGATTGGGGGTTCAGCTTCAGCATCCGTCCTTCCAATGAGTATTCAGGCTTGATTGGTTTGATCTCCTTGCAGTCCGAGGGACTTGGTCATCTTCTGACTGGCTCTGAAAGCATGAGTTGTATTTCAGCACGTGCAGTGCTCAGTTGCTTCGTCGTGTCCGACTCTTTGCGACCCTGTGGACTGTAGCCCACCATGTTCCTCTGTCCTTGGGATTCTCCAGGCAAGAATACTAGTGTGGGTTATTGCCGTGCCCTCCTCCAGGAATCAAACCCGCATCTCTTACATCTCCTGCATTGGCACACAGGTTCTTTACGACTAGTGCCATGTGTGGATTACACATCCCTTTCTAATTTTTCCCTTATCTTTGATACAAGATGGACTGGCGAGTTTAACGCAGTGCTCTAAATGACTATTTTGCTGTCACCACATAAGATTACAAATGATGACTCTTCTTATCTATTACATTTCCTTAATTCCGTCCAACCTCAGGCTGTGGCTTTAACACCACCACCCTGTTGGGCGTTTTTTTCAGTTTAATGGCCAACGCCTTGATTTCTTTTTGCTTTGTTTCCTAATTTACCTGTTTCTTCATTTTATTCTTTACCATCATACGTGCTTTTCCCAGCAAGATGTCATCTGTACTTTTAATGAATATACTTCTTTATTCAAACACATTCAAACACATTTATAGATAAAACTCAACCATTTTCCTTATGATATTATTAGCGTTCTTGTTAATTCTAAGGAGTCACACCACTAGTATTAGTGGAGCTGACCTTCCTGCTTTGAATTTTGGGGGCTTTGACTAAAGGGGAGTGAGAGTAAGAATTGCTCTTTGTTTAACTCACTTTTAATATAATCCAATCCCCGTCTGTTCTATCAGTGGTCCAACAAATTGCTTATTGAACAAATAGCATGTGCATGTTGTTTAAGTCCTCCTAATGATAAGTTGGATACAGAAGTGAGATAAATACAAAACAGATGGTGGCCAGATACACCCTTCTTCTCAAGGAGATGTAGTTAATGGGAAAGTGTGCCTGTTCAGCATGGATTTCTAGAAGCAAAAGCTATTTTCAGCCTGTGAGAATTTTTACGATACAGTAATATGTAGCATTTACTTTTCTCTTTCTGACTTAAACTTCACTCTGTATGACAGTCTCTGGATCTATCCACATTCTCTGCAAACAGCACAATTCTGTTCCTTTTTATGGCTGCGTAATATCCCATTGTATGTGTACCACATCTTTATTCATC